ATGCAGTTGATTGGGCGCAGGTAAATGGAAGTTTGATCAGAGGTGATGAAGCAGATCAATGTCTTCAGCATTTGGGAGATTTGCTTCACTCGCTTCGTTACCCCAAAGCATTCCACCTTGAACGACTTGGCCTCTTCAACCTCTAAGCAAACTCGCTCCTCTAAGAATATCAAATCAAAGAGTTCCTTCACCTGCTCTTTTGCCTCCCAGGGAAGCCTCATTGTTAGGTACGGTTCAGTGAACAATGCCAAAGCGCTCCTTGCATTAGTGTCATCTTATTGTTCGAATTTCCAGTTTCGATTGTTTAAATTATCTGTATAACCAACAAGGAAGAAAGAAAATCGCGCGACACCCTCCCAGAACTGAAGAATAAAACGATTATGGGCCCCGATTTGACTTTCGCTGCTCAGTTTTATCACCCAACAAAGTCGTTTAAACCATGAGCAATCAAAAGCAACTTAGACACTAAGAAATTATGAAAAAAAAAATGTGGTTCCTGCCGTCATAATTCTTGACTTTGGACAGTCGCCACGTGGATCAACATGGTCCTAAAAAAGGAGAGTGACGATCTAGAAACCGCGCGCTCTCGAGCTGAATCGTTGTCCCCATGGCGCATGTCGGTTTCATGTAACCTCTGTTTCTTGAAATGGACACAGCCGCACCACATTTTTAGTCTATTTTATTGACTTGGAATCTAGGGGACGGTAAAATTAGGATCGTGCGGTTGGGCGACGAGAATCGAACGCACTGACAGGTTTTTGAGGCGTGTTGCGCAACACCCAATTTGGATTAGAAAATGAAAAACCGACAACAAATTAACATGGCTTCCGTCCGGCAGGGGAGGGTCCAGTTGATTGGGACATCTTTTCTTTATACTTCGACGCCCCTCCAACAAACACCCACTAAAGATTTTAACTACTAAGTTGTCGCCCGCATCGCACGAGTTAAAAATTATATAAATATTTAAATAATTAATTTTACTTTAATATTTATTTTATGTAAGATTTATTATTTTTTGCTGAGACTGTTACATTAGATCAGGAGAAACATTTTTGAACCTTACTGTTGCTTCAAATGCTATGATGTAAAAATGAGAACAGAAAAAGAAAAAGAGACAGAGGCGTTTCAATAACTATAAAAGTTTAAAATAAAATATTTAAATGAGATGTTTTTATTAAAATTACAAAAAAATTATGATTTAAATAATCAAATTTATATTTTTAATTTGACATATTCAAATATTTATTATGAAGTA